CCCGGGATCAGGCCCAGAACCCGGGATCAGGCCCAGAACCCGGGATCAGACCCAGAACCCGACCAGAACCCGGGATCAGGCCCAGAACCCGACCAGAACCCGGGATCAGACCCAGAACCCGGGATCAGACCCAGAACCCGACCAGAACCCGGGATCAGGCCCAGAACCCGACCAGAACCTTTGGTCAATTCTCACATTAATTTCCAGTTCTGTTAGATTTTAACGTTACAAAACAAAATCCATGAAACATGAAAAACTTTCTGACCCAGAGGTTCTGGAAGGTTCTGACCCAGAGGTTCTGGAAGGTTCTGACCCAGAGGTTCTGGAAGGTTCTGACCCAGAGGTTCTGTCTGATGAACAGCACCAATGGACTCGGTTGAAAGCCTCGTTTTGACATTAAAACTGTTTTAAACGGTAATAAATGCTAAATGTTGGTTTTTCTCATCTGTCTGAGGAAGTAAAAACATTGATAGTTCAGTTAGTTGAGCTAACAGGTTTATTAATAAACTGGATCTGATGAACCGGCTAACTAACTTTTATTCTACGTAATATTTTAAAGTTTAAAGTTATTGTACATATAAAAACATTGGAAATAATGTATAAAGCTCTGAACAAACGTCAGAAATGATTTAAGAGAATAAATATAATTTATGATATTTAATATTTGAGGATTGAGGTAAAAACTAAACATGTTGAACTGAAACTGATGATTTTAAATGATCTTTAAAATGATAAACTGCTGGTATGTAGAGGCAGTGACGTCCAGTGGGTTTTAGTCAGACTCTAATTATCCATCATTTCCCGGGTGATCCGTCCCACTGCATCTTTAATGTCAATAATATATTACCTGTGAACGACGTCGAGCTTCGCGTTGCGCTCCAGAAAACATGGAGACTAATATGAACAGCGCCATAAACGTGAAAACAGCCACGCATGAACGAGTCCATAAAACGCCATTATAATTATTAATATGAAGATACGCGTCACAAATCTGTGCAGAAGAATATCTGAGCTGTGGAGCCGCAGGAGGAGCGCTGCGCTAGCAAACACAGGGCCGTAACGCAGAACCTGGAGGCTGGGGCAGGGAGGAGAAGGGGCCCTGAAATCCTACTAAGTTTAACAGATAATAGTGCAACACAGAAAAACAGGCTAAAATTACTAAAGTTGTTTTGGACTGTTGTAACCATTAAACAGGCCGCCCTTCAGTTCAACCTGACAAGTGGAGACACATTGTTGATGCTACCATTATAAAATACCTTGGAATTAAGTATTGGCAAAGATCAATGTCATTTTCACAGTGTTGTTAGCAGCTGCTGAAAGTAACTAAAAAAGTTACTTTTAATGTAACTTAGTTACTTTCCAAATCAAGTAATCAGTAATTTAAGTTACTTTTTCAAGGAGTAATCAGTAATCCGATTAAATGCCATCACTATGTAGATGTACGCCTTGTGTAATCATGTTTGTAAATAATGTCTGTGTGAAGATGCATGTTTGTCTTTATGAAGTTTGATCTCTGGTTCAGGGTTTGTTATTATTATTGTTTTCTGTGCTTAATGTTGATAATTTACCAAAACAAACTGAACTGAAACCTTGTCTCCTTGTCGCCCCCTGCAGGCCATGAACATCGTCACGTCCGTCCTGCTGCTGTACGGAACCGAGGAGGAGGCCTTCTGGCTGCTGGTGGCGCTGTGCGAGCGCATGCTGCCCGACTACTACAACACCCGGGTCGTAGGTCAGTGGTTGAGGTTCTGGATCCCAGTCTAGAACAGAACCATGGAGTGTGTTCTGGTACCCGGACTGGGACCTGCCACCTGGCGTAGTTGCTGGCGGCGTCCTCCAGGGGGCGGCGCCTGACGGTCTGTCCCCTCAGGAGCACTGGTGGACCAGGGCGTGTTCGAGGAGCTGACCCGGGCCTTCCTGCCACCCCTCTATGACCACATGCAGGCGCTGGGCGTCATCACCACCATCAGCCTGTCCTGGTTCCTCACCCTCTTCCTGTCCGTCATGCCGTTCGACAGCGCCGTCCTGCTGGTCGACTGCTTCTTCTACGAAGGCATCAAGCTCATCTTCCAGGTACGGAGCCGCGTGGCGTCGACCGCTCACCGCTTACCGGTCAGATGAACCCGTGACCTTCAACCTCGTCTGTCTGCAGGTGGCGCTGGCCGTCCTTCACGACAACATGGACGCCCTGCTGGTCTGCAGCGATGAGGGCGAGGCCATGACCATCCTGGGCAGGTGGGACCGCTTTATGTCTTATCAGACGATTTCCTGTTCATGCAACTTTAACGTAATAAGTAAAATGAAGCAAAATCAGAAGCGGAGGACGGTTTGCAAGTCTCACAACGGTCATGGAAATTAGCAGAAGCTAAAGCTAACACTTTAAGCATTAGCATTAGCTTTTATTAATGTACTTGTTTTTGCGGTTTAGCATTAGCAGAGCTAAAATTCTTGTGTAGAGAATTAGTGATTAGTGAAGCTAAGTTTTTGATTAGCACCATGGCGGCCATATTGAAAAATGTCCATCAGAAAAAGGAAAGAAAAAAACAAGAAAATATGAATTAATTCTACGGTTCAAAATATGTGAGCTATGATGTGACATCAAACACAATCACCTAATCGGTGATTTTAGATCAATAATTAATTTTGCATGATAACCCTGGCAGCCATCTTGAATTTTTCAATGGCTAACAGCATTTTTCACACAAATGAGTCGGTCCCTGTGCCAAGTCAGGGCCCAATATGGTGCTGATCCTGTCCGTACTGGGTCCATACTAGGTCCTGTCCGTACTAGGTCCAGGCCGAACTGGTCCTGGTCCATACTGGGTCCAGACCGAACTGGTCCTGGTCCATACTGAACTGGTCCTGGTCCATACTGGGTCCAGACCGAACTGGTCCCGGTCCGTACTGGGTCCAGACCATACTGGTCCCGGTCCATACTGGGTCCTGGTCCGCACTGGGTCCAGTCTGTGATGGGTCCAGTCCGTACTGTGTCCAGACCGAACTGGTCCCGGTCCGTACTGGGTCCAGACCATACTGGGTCCAGTCCGTACTGGTCCCGGACCAGTAGTAAACTCACCTGTCCTGCAGGTACCTGGATAACGTTGTGAACAAGCAGACGGTGGCTCCGCCCACTCCCCACTTGCACGCCCTGCTCACGAGTGGAGACGACCCTCCGCCGGAGATCGACGTCTTCGACCTCATCAAGGCATCCTATGAGGTCAGAGTGATGTCACTTCCTGCTAGCAGCATGGTGGTCACCTGGTCAGACTGGATCAAAGTCTCAGGTGGATCAAACTTCTCCTTGCAGAAGTTCGGCAGCCTGCGCTCTGATGTCATCGAGCAGATGCGTTTTAAGCAGAGGTTAAAGGTCATCCAGTCGCTGGAGGACACGGCGAAGAGGAGCGTGGTGGGTGTGTGTGGTCATTTTATGCCCACAGAGATGAAGTCTGTCCGTTCACAGGTGTGTCTCTGCAGGTGAGGGCGATGATGACCGAGCTGGCTTTCAGCATCGAGGAGCTGGAGGAGCTTTACTGTCTCTTTAAGGTCAGAGGTCACCTGAGATTCTGTCCTCCTCAGCTCCTCTCGGTCTGACCCCTGCCTGTCTCTGTCCTAGTCCAAGCACATGACTAGCTGCTACTGGGGCTCCAGCAGCTCGGCGGCGCAGCGCCACGACCCCAGCCTGCCCTACCTGGAGCAGTACCGGATCGACCTGGTCCAGTTCGCCCAGCTCTTCTCGGCGCTGTCTCCCTGGGTCTGCGGAAGCCACACCCCCACGCTGTCGGCCCGGCTCTTCAGGCTGTTGGACCAGAACCAGGATGGGCTGGTCAACTTCAAAGAGTTCAGCACCGGCCTGAGTGAGTCGGCTCCAGACCGCAGACAGCCGGTTCCATCTGGGTCGGTTCTGTCTGGCCCGGTTTCACTGTGTTTGTGTTCTGCAGGTGGGATGTACCACGGCGACTTGACGGAGAAGCTGAAGCTGCTCTTCAAGCTCCACCTCCCACCAGGTATCAGCCCCCACCAGCTCACCTGATACTCGGGTTCTCTTCTGATCCAACCCAAGAGCACTGACCAGAACCAGAACTTTAACTGGAGGTTCCACCTGATGTCCCCGGATGTTCTGTTGGTGATCTCACACTGAGCATGCTCAGATGCCTCACACCAGAACTTTAGACCCGAAAACAATAATAATTTAAATAAAAAGGTAGCATTTCCCTTTAACTTTGACCTCTGACCTTTGACTGCAACCTTCTCTGGACCTGGGGTCAATAATTAATGTTCAGCTGGATTTTCATTCTGACTGCAGCAGAGTCCGCCGAGCTGTTTCGGGAACATGCAGGAAAGTTTCCGTCTTAACTTTGGTTTGATTGCAGATTGTTAACGTTCAGGAAACACATGGATATGATTCCCATAAAGTTTTCATCTTGTTACATTTAGTATTCCATTAACCAGGCGTATGTAGACTTCAGATTGAAATAACTGTTCTACTATGTTAGCATTTCGGCGCTAGCATGCTAGTTACCCCGCTAGCCTAGCAGCTAACTGCTAAACTGTAAGCAGCTGCTAGAGGCACATCGACTCCAGCATGCTGGTTGTCCTAGACATAAATTAATATGAACTGTGTATAGTGTTCATGTTACAGGTTGCACCGCTCGTATTTAGCAGCTAAGAGGTAAACTGTTAGTGACTGCAGTGACCAGACACTTGCTGCTGCAGAGGCTTAAAATAATCAGTCAGAAATGAACACATTCAGGGAGGAAAAATGTCACTCGCAGATAAAATAACAGATTGTTCATGGCATAGGCATGATGAGTTTAATGTAGTACTGAGCCTAGTTCACTGTAAAACATTACATGTATTTATTATTTTGGGGCCATATCAATGTCTAGAGAGCAGTTCAGTGTTAATTATTATTGTGGAGTGGATTGGAAAATGAGAGGAAGAGGTGCGTATGTTTCTGGCTGAAGATGAAGACTAACTCATAAGCTGGCAGTCCTGTCGGAACCAGACCGGCCCGGTCCGGTTCGGAGCACAGCATGCCTCCCCTATCATCCTGCTGCTGACAGGCTGAAGACCAGTCTGGTTAAAGGAACTACCTGTTTTCCTTCATGTTTCCTTTTATTTTGTCCGTCTGCGGCTTTCTGGATGTAATATTTTAGAAGGAACCCCAGGCGGGTCTGTGGAGGTCCTGGAGACCCGACCCGAACGGTGACCCCAGAGGTCAGGCTGCAGGCTGACCCCTCCAGGTGTCTCACCTGTCTCTTTCTGTTCCAGCTCTGTGTGCTGAGGAGGCAGAGTCCGCTCTGGAGGCCACACACTTCTTTACTGAAGATAAACTACAAGGTACACACACACACACACACAGATGAAGAGGTACCTGTCCTACACCTGCTGCAGATTCTTTCGTCTCCTCTTTCTGCTGCCACTGAGCTCTGACTAACACCGACTCTTCCTCCTTCTAACCCTGTCCTCCTCTTCCTCCTCTTCTTCATCGTGTCTCCTTCCAGAATCTTCCTTCCTGTCTGATCTGGATTCTGTGCGGCAGCAGGAAGTGACATCAGGTTTGTTCTGGATTTTGAACCATGTTTATTAGCCTTCCTGACGATGACGAAGTTTTCACCTGAACAGGTGAAGAACCGAAGGACGGAGGAGAAGATGTTGAGGAGAAGAAAGGTAATGCCCCGCCTCCTCCTGACCGGTAATAGTATCAACACCTGATGTCTTTACCTGTGTTTACCTGCTTGTCAGAGGTGAAGGACTACAGGTACTACCTGAGGATGTGGGCTAAAGAGAAGGAGCCCAAGAGGGAAACCATCAAGGATTTGCCCAGGATGAACCAGGTGAGTCCAGGTGCTGCTGAGCTCCCAGGTGAGGCCGTCCAGGTGTGTTTACCTGTGTACCTGTGAACAGGAGCAGTTCATCGAGCTGTGCAAGACGCTGTACAACATGTTCAGTGAGGAGCCGAGCGAGCAGCAGCTGTACCACGCCATCGCCACTGTGGCCAGCCTCCTGCTGCGTATTGGAGAGGTCGGCAAGAAGTTCGGCAACGGCGCCAAGAAGGTTGAGGCCCCGCCTCCTGCCCCGCCAGGGGAGGAGGGGCCCGGCGAGGGAACCTCGACCGACGCCCAGGTGTGCCAGGCTCTGGCCGACGCCCAGCTGGAGCCGCCGGCGCCGCTGACATCTGACGAGGAGACGAAGGACGACACGTCGGTGTCTTCGTTCTCGGTGGTGAGCTCCGGCTCGCTGCAGTGCGAGGACATCGCCGACGACACGGTGCTGGTCAGCGGCGAGGAGAGGCGGGGAAGCACGTTGGATGCTGATTGGTCAATCACCTTTGAACAAGTGCTGGCCTCACTGTTGACAGAACCAGCGCTGGTCGAGTATTTTGAGAGGAAGATGGACATCCAAGCCAAAATGGCTGCCTGTAAGGTTCAGCGGGCCGTGGAGCGCCAGATAAGCTCCGCCTCCGACCACGAACTCAGCCAGCATTCCTCCTGACTCACCTGATCAGCTTGTTAGCTCACTACTCAATTCTTCCACCTCCTGATTGGTCACCTGCGTTTCCTGTGTCCATTTGAGTCTGATTGGATCATTGCTGATGATGTCATGTCTGACTCTGACTGATCAGTCACTGACTGAGCTATGACATCATCATGTGACTTCCTGTGGGTGTTTTACAGTAAAAGCTTGTGGGGGTCTATAAGGCTTTTACTGTGAAAGAGAAGCAGGAAGTGTGTGATCTCTGATTGGTTCCCCAGTCTGCTGCAGGTGAACAGGTGTATATACATCCTGTTTGTCACAAGACTGTTGATTTATGTCCTCGTTTTCATGAATTAAAAAAAAAAAAATGACTGAAAAAAAAAGAACAAGTTCAGTGTTCATTCAAGCTTTTATTTTGTAGCTGTTGTTTTTGTTCCCCGTTTACTTCCTGTCCAGAGTGACATCACAGTATTTTTATCTGTTTATCTGCCTGCTTTTAAATCTGTTGCATTAATCAATTATTGATCTGTTCAAATAAACCTGAAGAAAACCCGCTGCTGCTTCTTCTGTGGCGTTTATGTTGAAATTGTGAGCACAGAGGGAGTGCAGCGCCCTCTAGGGGGCATACCTGTGTTTGTAACATGCAGTCAGCAGAAGGTACAAATATGTCAAACAAAAAAAGTAGCATTCAATCAAAAAAAAAGTTCAACCAAAAAAATCTTAACTATTTAATCATAAAAATATTTTTTTACGAAACAAAAAAATATTTAAAGAGGTTTTTTTTTTTTTGTTTTTTTTTTTGAAATCACTAATTTTAGTTTGAAACTTTTATTTTTGCAAATCAGAATTTTTGGTTGACAGCCTAAGTTTTTGGTTGAGTCAAAAAAAAAATTGAAGCTCCTGTTTTTTGGTTGAACTCGTTTTCTTGCTTATACAACTTTATTTGCTTTGGCGAAGCTTACATGAACATTCTGGGCGGGGCTTAAGGACGAGCGATGTAAGACGTGTTCCGATTGGTTAGCGCTGACTAAAGCGGATGACTCCCTGAGATCTCAGAACTCTGTCCCGAACTGCAGGGCTTCGGTGACGGGACACAGAATGTGATGGTAAGTAATCTTCACAAAATTACACCGTTTAGCAGCTTCTAAAGTGTCCACCCTGTTTCAAAGAAGAAATCTTACTCAACTTATGACGACAGTCACATATTTTGTCTGCCGCGATCCCCGGTAGCATATTGTGCTAGCTAATGTTAACACTAGGTAAAGTTAATAAACTAGGCTTGTGTAATATTCGTTAACCAGCGAACCTCTGTCGAGTGGCTTTAAGAGTGGAAAATACCAAATATATCTGGAGGAAATATGTGTTAAAAAACAGTTGCGCAATACTCTGTGTGTGTGTGTGTATTAACTAGCATTGAAGCTAAAATGGGAAAACAGCGGATCGTTGCACCAATGTTATCAGGTGCACGTTAATCTGCCCCACACGTCAAGTGACTGTGCAGATGATTTATTTACCAAGCACATAATCAGTGCTGTCGATGAGGGGAGGGGCAACGTAACTCTTAAATATATACATTTTCTTCCAGGCGTAAAATGTAAAACTAAGCTGGTAGGTCACAGGCCGAAGGAGGATATTCACATAATTTCTGTTTTTTATTATTTGGTGTGTATGTGTCTTGTACTTAGTTTTATTCCGAATTAGATGTAATATGCCTTTTGCTGTGTTATGATATTAAATTAAATTGGTGGTCTCCTAATTCCCCATCCTAGTATGACCAGCAGAGTGCATCATTAGTAACTCTTAGCAGGGCGGTCTCAGTTCTATGAGCAGGATGGAAGCCAGACTGAAATTTGTCACACAGAGAATTTCTTTGAAGGTGGTGCTGGAGTTGGGCATCAACTGCCTTTTCCAGCACTTTAGGAAGAAAAGGAAGATGAGAAATAGGGTGATAATTGGAAAAGAAATCAGGATCCAAAGTGGGTTTTTTTTTTGGAAGGGGTTTAATGATGGCAGTTTTAAGAGACAAAGGGACATGGCCGGTGTAACAGTTATGGGCTTTGCAGCTAACTGCGGCTACAAGATCAGCATCAGAAGATGGTTCTTTAAGGAGCCTGAGGTGTGAATGAAGACACGAAGCAATGGTTTTAGTTTTGGTGTATATTTTAGTGATTTGGGGAAAAAGACAGACAATTACAAATGCACAATGTGAGACAAATTAACTCAAA